TGAGAAAGGTTTTCTGGACTAAAGACGAAAACGCGGAGCCATGCCCTGAGCACTTCTCAGAGGTGTCCTTCGGGAAACAACTAAACCACAACTTTTCTAAATTTTAACCTATAGGTAACTATATTAATAAAAAACAAAGCTGCAAGAACCACTGCAAACATGCAAACCCCAAGAAACAGACTACTATGTTTTTGAATTTTCTTGGCACTACTGTTTTCATAAACGCGACCAATAGAAACACTTTCTTACATTACAGCAGTTATCAGCTTCATAGTCTAAGCCAACCAGATATCTGAGACTAAATCTGGGGATATTTGGTAGCTTTGCCATCCAGACTTACTCACCTCTTTATTCACACAGACTCCTCTATCCATGTATTCTCCATTCCATCATAAATAGAGGCTTTTCTAATTGGTGTGGTAATTCTTACAAACTATTGTACTGCAGCATGATGCACAGATCCACTCCATTTCCCATCAGATATACAGATCCGATGGATGATGAAGCAAAAGCATCAATATCTATAAACCAGATAAGCTGATGTTACACTATATTCTGCGACTGACAATGTTTTTGTGACACTACATGATTGGACCAGCCTTGGGTTAGCAAAGAAAATAACCAATGTGCTGTAGACAAACTTTAATATGGGTGTTTTGTATGCTTTTAGAAATGCTATTCTACGAACCTGAGCTGTATCAGGGGCATATCTGAGCTAAGGTTGCCTTCGTGTTTTATATTCTGCCCAGTCCACGCTGATGTCTGAAACTAGTAAGATATTTTCTTTTATACAACAGTTGGTCATTAGATATATTATCTTGTTGTTCCCAAACATTTCTTGGTGGGCCCCCCTTTAATTTTTGGTTTTCAAGAAAACAATTGTTTTTGATGGTTTAACAAAAAATAAGGGAATTCACCTGCAGTAAACCAAAATCATTCAACTCATTCATGTAGCAAACCATCAATCATGAGGAAATTAGAAATCAGTTTACTCTCCTTAGTTTCTTAAGTAAAGCCAGTGCAAAAAATGACAACTTTAATCAGGGTATCAGAGCCTCAAAGGTGATTTAAAATTACTAGTGTTGTTCCGATGCCATTTTTTGGCCCCAATACGATACTCGATACCTGGCTGTGCATTATCAATCGATACTGATACAATACCGATACCATCTGTTTGAAGAACTGCACACTACTTAGATGTAAAATAAAAGCTGCTGCCTACCTTTGTGAAGCAGAAAAAAAAAAAAAAAAGTGAATCCAGTAGAACTTTTTATTGCCTACCTGGAATCTGGGACAATAGTTAAATAAACTTCTGGCTCTCAAAATGGTGTCAGTGCCCTATTGGTTGATACTCGCCGATACTGATATCACCATTTTAGTGCTGGATCGGGGCCCCGCTTGATATTAGATCGGTATCGGTGCAACACTAATAATTACCCCTTAACAACTAAAGTTGTTGGTTTCTCTTTTTACTGAACCATCAATCCTCAAAAAAAGAAACATCTACCAATAGGGGAATAATTTACAAAAAGCACTGGTTTGGTTAAAAACCCCTTGTAGAGTTTTAATGGAAAGTCGTTTAACACTGTCTGAATTTCACCTGGTTCCCTTTCATTATAATCACCTGGTCTTCCTGTTTTTGTTTTTATTTGTCCCTGTGTCTCTCTGTTAGATATTAAAGTCAGTCAGGTATTCAGTTTAACTTGCTTTTACACCCCTTTATGGAGATAAATTCTATAGGGTGAAAGCTTGATCTAAACTGTTATCCAATATTTATGTTTATTTTCTGACTTTCCAGAAAATTTAATATGAAAATATGAATTTGTGATGAAAAAAAACCTCATCCAAACTCCCTTTGTCCCCACATCTATTAATCAGCACATAAGGGTTACAGTAGATTAGTTTTGAGCGCGGGAACAAGATAAACCATCAACATCCAGTAAAATACCTGTGAAAGAATGCTAAAACCTGAACTTGGCTTATATATATNTATATATATATATATATATATATATATATATCCCCATATATAGGGAGAAGTGTTTTCTATTTGGCATTTGATGAGGTTAGGTGAAAATGTTTTTGGGGAACCACAGCAAATACATAGTTCCCTTAAATGAAATTGAGGCAAAAAATACTTTATTGGAGAAAAAAGACTTTATTTTAGAGTTGAGCTTATTACATACAATTTCAGTTCTGAATGACCTCCTCAGAAAAAGATGTGTTTTTGTCATTTCAATGGCACTCTACAACAAAATGTGTCTTCTGTTTCTAATCCAGTACTACTAGGGAGTAGCTACAAAACCGGGTAAGCAGTCTGGGACTAAGGGTGATGCCCAGGGACCAATAACAGCAATCTATGGGGTTCACACTAGGTACTTTCGGCATCCTCAGAATTAAAGCACTCGGCCCTAGTCACTAGGCCACCACTCCCTGTGGTGGCCTAGTGACCTACTCCCTGGCCTACTCCCTGGCCTACTCCCTGGCCTACTCCCTGAATGTGGTTGTAGACTTACAGTAATATTCTCTTTAGGTTCCCTTTAATTGGTTCCCTTCAATGTCCTCACCTTGGCAGATCGAGTTGTACACAGCAGACTTTTGTTTGTGGTAAATAAATCCAGATATTAGGATAACCAAACCAAGTATCAGTCCAATCAGACCAACAACAATCTTAGTTTTTTCTTTCTTTGGAAGGGAGTCATCTAAAACATTGAGAAATGGAAGAATAATTTCAATTTCAATGCCCTTCAGACTTCAATGCCAAGTATTTTCATGACAGCAATAAACTTACCCCAAACTACAACCCTTGGTTCAGACATTGTTAAATGTTCAACCATGCAGCTGATTTTTTCTCCAGGAGCTGGACTGTACTCCAGGTGAGAATGAAAGTGGTAGTACAAGTCTCCAACAGGAATCACATCTGAGTAAGTGACCCCTTTAGTCACTTGTTGATTATTTCTTAGCCAGGTTAGTTGGATTTGCTTCGGGTAAAAGTTATAAGCACTGCAGATAAGCAAGGCTGGATGTCGACCATCAGGCTTTATGAGAGATTTGATCCTGATGGTGGGTGTTGTTGACAGGTTTCCTAGGAAAACATGGTTATTTATTATGAATTTTAACCAAAGCTCTAAACTTTCACATTTGAATCTTGTTTGATTTATTGCATCATATAGCAAATAGTAAATCTACTCCAAAACATGCTGAATCAGCTTCAGAGTAACACAAAAGTTGATAAATGTGATGTTTTAAAATGTTTTATATTTATTTGCTTAATTATTTAAAACAATTTTAAATGCAAAAAATACTCTCTGTATAATGTCAGCAAATAGGCTTACATAACTTCATATTCTCAATTTCTTTAAGTTATAGCTAAGCTAAAATTCAGCGTTCAAATCAAAATAAAATTAATTACCCATTGTTCGGATATGGTGTAGGTTGTCGTAACACAGAAGTTTCTTTTGCAGTACTCTTTGAAGCGCATCAGCAGGATCCTTATTCCAGTAATATGAATTATCATGTGAATATTGTGTAAATCCAATCCAGTTTCCCCTTGTACTGTTGTACTGCATCATATTCTGCTTGTTGAAGCTAGTCATAATTGTGTACTCAATATTGTTAAAGTTAGGACCATTAAACGCACAGCATGCTCTGACCTGGTAAAAATCTTCGTGTGAGAAAACTGGTGAAAAATAAGAGAAATCAATTATTTGTAAATTGGGTTTTTCCCCTGAAAGCTCAGAATAATAAAAATGATAATAAATTCAACTTACCTGGATTTTCAAGCGATAAAAAGAAAATGAACAGAAAACTCTGAGTGTTCATCTCTCCTCAGCAGCTAAGAACAAAAATTGCAGACTTGGACCGACAGAGTTTACTTGTTTCAACACGAAGAGGAAGTAAAGAGAGTTATGCCTTACTAAACAATAAACCCATGTTGTTCTATTTAAGAAACGGGATGCTTAAGCAATGATTAATACTTCTTATGATTCTTTTGAGCAAAATGCCAAATGCATTTATGTAGTTCTTTTTTTTTTTCTTAAGTCTTTTCCATAAGTTGTGCTTTATTTTATAACTTTTGAGTTTTCTCAGGTTTTGTTTTGGTTTAATGCTTTAGTCAGTCTTGTTTTGTTTTTTTCCTTTGTTTTCCATTTCTGTTTCATTTAACTTTTGTTCCTTTTAAAGCGTGAAAGAACCTTTGCACCTAAATGCAGCAGCATCTACAATATTTCAGTGGAAAAACCCCAGTTAATCAGTTCCAACAACCTTCACTTTGGATTTATAAGCACTTTTGAATTATGTCGATTTAATGCTTTAGCTCCTTAGGCTTAGGAATCAAGTTAAATAGTTGAGACACATTAATATTTATATTAGAATTATTGGAAGACCCAGGTTCAATATCTCAAATAGCCCCCTTATATACAGGCTATGTGAAACAGAAAATATACTTTTTTACTCAGTATAAGGCCTAGGCTCTGAAGTTTTTTGAGGGGATTGTGGTGATATTATGCCTCTGTGCTAGAATACTGGAGGACTGAAAGAAGAGATGACAAAAACAGGAAGCTCAACCCCTAGTAATCTAATACTATTATTATAATACACTTTTTCATTATATGCTGAGAAAATACTACCAAAAAAATTAGGGAAACTATAATCGTCCCCACTTCTCTGGATAGCGATCAATTAATTTCATTATCTGTTTGTTATAGTCCCCAAAAGTCTCAAAAGTAGTCCCAAGTAATTCTTTTTTATTGATCTTTGGGTTATTTTCCATTTTTTTTTTTTTTTTTTTTTCATATCTAAGCCAGTCTTTAGTTACTCTCTGTGGCCCCCTTGTGCCTGTCTCCTTTCCCCCTGGCTCCCTTCTAGTAACATCCATCCACACCTACTCCATACCATCTGATGACTCAGGTCTTTTTTCTGTCTCCCATATGTACTCTCCCCGTGCAGTTCTTCAATGCAGGTTTTCTTGTTGTTAGTTGCTTCCTCAACCTGGATCCCCACGTGAGTTTTTCCTTATGTTTTCTGTTTTTTTTTTGGTTCTTTGTATTTTGGATTTTTGCATCAGTTACTTCATTTATCCTGCAAGAACTCATCTCTGCCTCCCTTATCTCTGCATTTGAGTCCTCAAGCAAACTCACTACCCAAGTTGACACTGTTTCAGGGTTCAAATACTAAACAGATCCAAGCTGCATACATGTACGACCCATAAGCTATGGCTTTGCTTTGATATTATCTGCTTAAAGGTCTAGTTCTTGAAGGTTGTTCTGCTATAAAACTAGCTGCTAACAGTGGAAAGTTTTTCATGCTCTGTTATTGGAAGCTGGTCTCATGAGATAAGCAGTTTTCCTTTACAGGGTTTCTATTCCACAGTTAGCAGCCACCTAGCAGGTTCATTTCCACTGTTTGGAAATATTTTACACTAGCGAGATCAGGTGACCAGATTCGTGAGACTAAACAGCTCGAACATTAAATATTATCAAGATTGAATTAAATATAGTTGCTAGATGTCCAAATGTCAACATCAATTATCTTCCCTTTATTTGCACTATATGTCCAATCAGTCAGATAATGTTCCACAACTTCCATTAATAAACAACATGTTAGAGTTTTTAACTGCAACGAAATATGTTTCATCTGCTGGAATTATTAAGGAAATGTTTTTTTACTCTTAACCATGAGCAAGCCTCTCAAGGCTAGTTTGATTTTTAAAATTTGAGGTCCAATATCCTAGGTAGAATGCAGTGATATACTAATGCACAGAACAGAGAACAAAACATGTAGATCAAGTTCCTCTGCTTATTGACTTCCTATATTCTAGTCATGAGTTCCCATAACCCTGTTCCTGTTTTAGTGATTATTTTGGCTGGCATATATTGTCACTTGCTTTCACATGAATTTGTAAAAACCCCTATTATCACTTGGTTTTTTAAATTCTCTTCTCTTTGTCACTTCTATTATACTCTTGCTTGAACTGATACTGATAACAAAGGTGAACTACATTTTTTTTGTTCTGAAACAGATAAGGGAGTTCTTATTATCTTTGACCACTCTATTTCATGAGTAAAGTAAAAGCACTAATATTGCCCTATATAGTGACTTCCACCAATAACTAAAACTCACACATGATCTGGCTCATTAGCAAATTTTTATGAATTGTTCATTGGCATGAAGTACCTTCCTTAAAATCCTCTTATAAGTTTATAAATAAGGCGTAGTGTGTGTCTGCAGCCTGTGGTGTTTGTTCTGCTCTAACCTCCTTTATTACCTCTATACTCTGCATTCTTGTTTGATCAGCATATTGAGACTTCGAGTGAGGCATGGCTCACCTTTCCTGCGTTCTTGTCTTCAGCATAATACGTCTGGACTTATTTAAGACCGATGCTGAAGCAGTCAATGATCACCGCTGCCACCCTCTGGGTTGGGAGGGAACTGCTTGTTCCGTTAAATTATGTTAAACAATCCTTTAAAAAAATCCTGCATCCAGATTAGGATGTGGATCATTACCAACATATGATGGATTATTCTTTGGACTGAGGTGCACCTTGGTAAAAATGTCATAAATCTGTTCATGTATTTTCAAGTCATCCTGTGCACAGATGGATGGACAGACAAAGAAACACCCACACAAACGTGACCAAAAATAATAACCACTTATTATTTTTTATTATTAAGTAGCACATGTTCTATTTCAGTAGGTTGTTGAATATGCACAAACAATAATTACTAAACAAAAGGAGAACAGGAAAACCAAGGATCTATTCACTTACGTAATTTTTTTTACCTAGCAAGCATATAAACATGAGAAAACTAGGCTTAAACAGAAAGGTAACTCTCCCCAACCAAAACCATCAAGCCGGTTAAATAGCAGCAAATTAAAAGACCCAGGAAGCAGAACCCAATCTTTGAGGTGAAGCCTAAATAGAGCAAGGTATCACTTAAAAGCAAAAACAGAATTAAATCCATCTTGGGGATGTAACAATGCTGCATAAGTCCGTTCATTTCATTCAAATCAACAATGACTTTGTGAACATTAAGTTTACAGTAACAGTAGACAAAAATTGTAAAAAGTAGATTCTATAGCTAAATAGATAGCTAAATATCAAAGAGCAAGGTCTGAGCTCAAAGAATACTGGCTTCCTTTCACAAAAAGGAAAGTTCCTACAGCAATACCAAGAAACCCGAAAATCAAACCGAATATGCAGAAGGCAGCAGGACCCATACTCCTCTCCTCTTTTCTTTCAATGTCTAAAAAGAATTAGAATATGATATAAAGTATTGCATTAATTTAAACACAAATAAAGGTAATTTAAGTTTTGATCAATTTTATTTACTGAGTGTAAAGAAAGAAAAAAGGTCTCACCCCAAAACCTGGTCTCAGGTTCTTCTAGTGCCTCATGTTTTACAGTGCAGCTGTAGATGTCTCCTTGCTTTGGAACAAAGTTCAGGTAGGAGAAGACATGAAATGTCCCATCAGAGTTGGATACAATTTTGAAGAAGGGGTCTTCCACTGCCACCTCTTCGTTATTCTTGGTCCAACTGATATTGAGAGCAGGAGGGAAATAGTTGCGTACAAAACACACAAGGGTGTTCTCTTCATCTTCGGTTACCTCATTTCTGGGGTAAATAATAACTTCTGGTGGGACTAAAAAATAATTTCCAAACCAGTTAATCCTAACATGCTGGATTTATTATGCTGAAAAGAGGTCACTGGAGAACAACAAAAGTGCAGAACTTTGCCTACCTTTGGTTCTTTTTACATCTGGGTCCGGTTTCCATCGATATACATCTTTTTTACACTGTGCTTGGCACCTCTCCAAATATTTTTTACCCTCTGCAAAATAAGTTGATGGTATTTTGCTGTCCCAAACACCAATTTTGTTTTTGGAATCGACATAACACACTATATCGTCATCCAATGTCACATCAAGGAAGATGTCGCTTGACTCAAAGCAACCAAAGGAAAAACACAGTTGGTGACTTTCTAAAAAAAAAAAAAAAAAAGTTTAAAACTGAAATTTAACATAGGAAGCAAATCAAGCTCTATGTAGCCTACTAACCTTCTGCATAGATACAATAGATCCACAGGAAAAATAGGAGAAGCTCTAGATGCAGATTGTTCGATATCCACTGATTTGGCTGTCCTGCCATGGCTCTTAGTCCCTCTGTTCTTAACGAGTAAAAGGATGGTTTAATCAGGTGGACTCAGGTATAGAGGTGTCATTTACCTTATTCCTGAGCTTAAACTTAAAACCGTTGGCAGATAAGGAAGCTGAGCTGACAAAAAAATCCTGTTGAACAACCTCAACTGTCAAATACAGCTAGGATTTCTGGTCTTTTACTCAGCAAATTATACTGCTTGTTCAAACATATATTAAAAAAGGAAGAAGAAATGTTTCTAGCTCAAATTTCTCAAGTCTTGAAATCAGATGTTATGTCTTTGACTATTTATCTGTCTTTACGAGGGGATACAATCAAATGCATTCTTTCTGATAGAGCTGTGCTTATAGCTGCATCCATATCAGCACGTCACGTTCTATATGGTAATTTCACAGTAGGCCTACACAGGTTGGAAGACTGATTTGTTCTTGCCCTCAGATATACATTTGCGCCAGATATAAATCCGTGCCAGATCGTGCTATCAAGGCAAAAGTAATCATTAGTAGACTCAGCTCCCAACTCAACTGTGAGAATAGATTAACGGCAATATTTTTTAAATCGCCTGATGACAGTCTAGTGTCCACTGTGTTTTATACCGAAGAGTATTTACATAGCCTTACCTGGACAAGAGTCAGTTTGGCTGGCCAGGATAACATTAAATACAATCTATAATAAAGCTTTCTATCTAAATCCAGTTGAGATATCGTTATTTGAGTTGGAGTAGATTTTCTTGGTAAAAGCAGTTAAGAAGTATGTGGCGTAGGAAAAGAAAAACATTTTCAAAATGAATCTGAAAGAAAACTGCTAAATAATGATTGGTGCATTTTTTTTATAAACAACAATAACAACAAGACAATATTGCTGTGGTGAGACTGAAATAAGTCACACCTTATGGCCCCTAAAAGGTCATAAAAATTGCACATCTTCTTTCCAAGTAACTTTAAGGCTGTGTATTTACACCAAGTTTCCAAGACAACACTGTTGTACTACAATATTTATAGAAACTACAGCTCATTTTTAATATTTTATATAATGGATACGAAAGGCAGACTCAGAAACAGTGTGTACTGTACAGTAAGGTAAAGTCACAACAGCTGCAGAGTGTTTTTACTGTCTTCTCTCACTCTCCCTTTTTCTCTCACTCTCCTACACGATAAGGAATGAGGACAACACATTATGTTAGCATGTGAAACCGTAGCATGCAGGGAGTGTGAGGCAAGGGTACTCTGTTTCACAGTCCTTTTCAGTTTAACAGAAACACAGTGAATTGTATGAAAAGGGAAATGATATATCTCTGCTGAAGTATGGTTTCAAAGGAAGCAGGACAGAAACTCTGACCAAGATAAATTAATATACACATTTTGATACACTTTCAATATAAAATGTAAAGAAGAACAAAGAAAGTGTGCAAGATTGAAAATTAACGTGTAAACCCTTTTTGCAGTCAATCACATGCGAAAGTCTTAGCTCTCCGTTTTAGGATCTATAAGACTGGCTGTGTCTGAATGTCCGCCCCAACTTCTATATGTGTCTAAAGGCGAGTGGAGAAAAAAGTAGTGGATTCAAAATTTTCTACAATTTACATTGAGAAGTACACTACTAAAAAAATTTAAGGAACACTTTGTAATCAGAGTATAGCATCAAGTTAATTAAACCTCTGGGATATTGATTTGGTCAGGTGAGTAGCAGAGGGGGTTCTTAATCAGTTATGGCTGCTTTGGTTTTAATGAAATTAACAACAGGTGCACTAGAGGGGCAAAAACGAGACGGCCATCAAAACAGGAATGATTTTACTGGTGGAGGCCACTGACATTTTTTCCCCTCCTCATCTTTTCTGACTCTTTTTCACCTGTTTTGCATGTGGCTAGGATCACTGTCACTAGTGTTAGCATGAGGCGCTACCTGGACTCTACAGAGTTTGCACAGGCAGTCCAACTCCTCCAGGATGGCACATCAATACGTGCCATTGCCAGAAAGTTTTGCTGTGTCTCCCAGCACACTCTCAAGAGTATGGAGGAGATTCCAGGAGACAGGCAGTTACTCCAGGAGAGCTGGGCAGGGCGGTAAAATGTCTACAGCCCATCAGCAGGACCGTTATCTGCTCCTTTGTGCAAGGAGGAGCAGGAGGAGCACTGCCAGAGCCCTATAAAATGACCTCAAGTGAATGTCTCTGACCAAACAATCAGAAACAGACTTCACGAGGGTGGCCTGAGGACCCGATGTCCTCTAGTGGGCCCTGTGCTCACTGCCCAGTGCCGTGGAGCTTGATTGGCATTTGCCACAGAACACCGGAATTGACAAGCCTGCCACAGGCACTCTGTGCTTTTCACAGAAGGGAGCAGGTTTACCCTGAGCACATGTGACAGATGACATGTGACAGCCGTGGAGAACGTTATGCTGCCTGTAACATCATTCAGCATGACCGGTTTGGTGGTGCATCAGGGATGGTCTGGGGAGGCATATCCATGGAGGGACGCACAGACCTATACAGGCTAGACAACGGCACCCTGACTGCCATTAGGAATCGGGATGAAATCCTTGCTCCCATTGTCAGACCCTATGCTGGTGCAGTGGGCCCTGGGTTCCTCCTGGTGCATGACAATGCCCAGCCTCATGTGACGAGAGTATGCAGGCAGTTTCTGGAGGATGAAGGAATTGATACAGTTGATTGGCCCCCACACTCGCCTGACCTAAATCTAATCCAACACCTCTGGGACATTATGTTTTGATCCATGTGACCCCGACAGGTTGCACCTAAGACTGTCCAGGAGCTCAGTGATGCCCTGGTCCAGATCTGGGAGGAGATACCCCAGGACTCCATCTGTCGTCTCATTATGAGCATGCCCTGATGATGTCAGGTGTGCATACACACGTGGGGGCCATACAAATTACTGAATACCATTTTGAGTTGCTGCAATGAAATTTCAGCAAAATGGACTAGCCTGTTGCATCATTTTTTCACAGTAATTTTTGGGGTGTCTTTGAATTCAGCCCTCTGTAGGGTGATAATTTTCATTTCCATCAAATTATGTGGCATCCTTTTGTTCTTAAAACATCACCCAGTCCATATCAGTATAAACAAACAGCATGCCTTTTTCCCCATTGAGATCTGATGTGTTTTCAAAGTGTTCCTTTAATTTTTTGAGCAGTGTAGTATGCAACCATGGTCACTAGACGAGCAGATATATCCCAGAATGCTTTGTAAGAGCTCTCCTTGCACAACGTCATGGGATTTGTTTTGAGAGTGCAAAGATGGCAGTGTGGGTAGCCGGAGTCAACGGGGAGCGAAAAGCAGTATTGTATGTCCGAATGGTCAGTTAACAAAGTGCCCTGTAAAGTCCACTAGGTGATCTCAACTTTATACAGTGTAGTGATTAAGGGGTTAGGGCAGACGTTTGGACATAGCCTCCATCTCTATTTTCGGCCTGCTTCTAGTTTTGTTCTTTCAGGTCTCAGGCGGCCTATGCTGACAGTTGTTCCCCATTCCAGCTCATTTAAGAGGTCTTCTTAAATGTGTAGTGGAGGATGCATGCCAGACAAGCCCATTTCTTCTAATTTTACTAGCAGTAATGTGAAATGAATTTCTCCAAATAGCATGCCTAACTTAACCTGTTGAGGAGAAACTTCGCAACTGAGGCATCCGTGGGAAGCCCAAACTGTGCTTTCAGTTTTCCCCAGTAGCGTGAACGAATCCCCCAAAAAACACTCTGGTCCTGTTACTCTTTTCTAAAGCCTTTATCTTCTTCTCATACACTTCACAAACACTTTTTCTCTTACGACCCTCAGCCATTTTCAAAGAACTGCAGTAGCTCACCCCGTATATATGCCTGAAACTGCACGTGTGCAGAAAAAGACAGCTAACTGGGGAGGAGCATGTAGGACGGCATTATGTAAACATATCACCAGAATGATTGACAATTAGGAGGACCACTTATTTTGATCCACCCTGAATAAGAACATCCTCCACTACACCTTTAAGAATTCTGTAGCCAGTCCTTTTTTGCTGGAGCATTAACCATGTGTGGTATGCCTCTTGTCTTCCTATGATACCTAGCGTGAACTTGAACTGAGTTCACATCTGTCTAACAAAGTTCTGGAACTTACCATGTGTTTTTGCTGCTCCCCAGATTTATTTTGCTTGTGGAAGTTCCTCTCAAGCCTCCCAGTTTTCAGTGAAACCTCAAAGCGTTTCAAGAATCTGTTTTGGCAAAGTCTGCGTGACTGGCAGCGTCTCTGGCTTCTGGAAAGATCTCCGTCAAGCCCTGCTCACCCTCCATCGTGAATACTATCTCCACTGTGCTCTCCCTCCATCTTGTGCTCAACCCTCGACACCAAGCTTCATCTCTGAATCAGTCAGCAACTCCTCAGTCCAAGGCTCCCGGATCTTTCCATTTTCTCCTGGCGGTTCACTTCATCTTCAATATTAAGGAAATAAGCAAATACTACTACTTATTTCCCCTTTCAAAGCTTCCACTACTAACAGCTCAGTTTTCTCTTCCTGGATTTAGTGGATGACAAATCGTTCCGGGTCCCTGGTTTCCAGCTGTCACTAACTCAATGTTTTTCAATAAAACTTTCAAAGGCCCAATCCAAACCTTCACCTCAACACTTCCCCTGAGCGCTAATGCTCCATCTGCAATCTCCTAAAGCATGACAAGCTTAAGAAGGCAGTTTTTTCTCCTTTCATTCAGTAAAAAAAAAAAATAAATTTCTTAAGCAAAACACCTTCATTATAATCGCTGGGAGACAGATGTCTATGAGAAAACATGTTTGCCTACAGTATTCTTTGGTGAAAACAGAATGTATGTTACCCATAATATAATTAGAAGAGCCAAGTAAAGGTCCAGGTGAAAATGTTTAAAGTTCCATTTAAAAAATTGTCTAATTTATTGTTACAGGATGTATACTTTGTAAGTTTTATTACTTTACTTTATAATTGTATAAAATCTAAAACTAGTTTAAGATGGTGGTCCAACTTTTTTGCTTTACTACTAGCTTTTATCATGTTTTTACATTTATTTGTGTCTATCCTGATTTTACTCTCCCTCTATTTCACTGTTAAATTCATGTAACACACTTTGAATTGTCTTTGTATTGAATTGTGCTACACAAATAAACTTGACTTGCCTATAAACTTCTAGCTCTCAGTCTTACTGCCAAACCAGGTTGATACCAGGATAGATTTATATCCCAGTACTCTGATTTGATTTTGGTTCCTGCAATAGATTCACACCTTTTGACTGCAGGGTTACATTTGTCATGATAAAAGATTTGTATTATTTTTATTTATATATGCAAAAAGGCTTTTGTATGATGTATTAATCCCAAATTCATTTTAAGAAAAAATAGAAACAGGTCATTTGTATATAATTTTTTTACGTTAGAACATGTCGGCAAAAAAAAAAAAGAAAAAGTTTCTGCATCCTTACTGTATTTCTATATAAGATTATAGTGCTGTATGGTGTTTCAGACTGCTAATTAACATACAGCTACACATAAACACAATCCAGGACCCACAAAGTCATCATCACACAAGCATGGTGCATCTGGTGTTTTCCCTGAAATCCATCTGCTAAATGTAAAGTTTCTAGCGACGGAAAATATGCCCCAGTTTCAACTGCTGTTCAGCTATTTTTCAGAGCTACTTCACACACACACACACATATATATATATATATATATATATATATATATCTATATATATATATATATATATAAATATATATTACTAAAAAAAACGCTTAAATTATAAAAACGTATACTCAGTTGTGTGCTTTCACATATAAACCAACGTGAACTCACTGCTCACATGCAGAAAGCCACCTCACTGGCAGATACATCTCCTTGGTGCCTGTGCTGGAAATGTTCCCATGGTACCAAAGACACTTGTTTCTCATATTGTAGCCAAAGAATCGTAAGGTAATACTCATGTATTACCTCACGATATGTGACTACCTTTATTTTTATGCCCTATATCATGGTCAGTAAACTCAGAGTGTGTTTAAGTTTCAGCTTACCAAAACAAAATACCTTTGGTTTAATATGTCGTGTATAATAAAATCCAGGACATTATTTCCTTTGTGCTAGTTGTTATTTTTGACCTGGCGGGTTTTGTGTCAGTGCAGTGAACATTACCTTGATGTTCTTTGAAGGCCTTTCAAAGGATCAAACGATAAATATGCTGCTCGTTAAGTGAATTGGTCACATCACTTGCTTTGATTTGAGAAAGAAAACTAATTAGTGCGTTGTTCACCTTCACAGAATAAGAGTGCTACAGTGATTAGAGCCCCTGTTAGTAGAAATTCAGTGAATGATTACTGTGCCTTTCAGAAGTGTCAGTTGTTTACTGCAGCTGAGGCATTAACAGGTGTCCTGCTCCAATAAAAATGAAGATGAATCCCATTTGAAATGAGATAATAAATAAATAAATTCAAACCAAAGACTGAGGTTATCCTAATGCTTTAGTAATGTAGTAAGTGAGTAGTAGTAAGCTGTACAAAAGGAAATTTTGTTTTTGCATACACTCTGTGTACTGGCAGCCCACTCCCTGACCTTTAGTGTTGCACCACACTAAGAAATACTTTCAGGTTTAGAGCGCATTGATGACTCTCACAGAATGACCACGTTGAATAATGTTGGTGACTTCCCGTTCCTATCAATTTCTTTCTAAAATATCTCTGGCTAGTTACTGTAATGTCTCCCTCACCCCTCCTCTTTTGTTATCCAAACTTGCCACAGACAGTGGCAAAGTTATAGTTTTTTTTGTTTCTTTGTAATCAAAGCGTATTACATGACACAAAATATTGAATGTCTTCAGAGACATGGTGGTTCAAAATATTGCTCTTCCAGTCTCAGCATTCCAAAGAGTTGCTGTTGTTTCACATTTTAACCTGTACAATTAGCAAGCCAATAGGGGCTTCCATGTAAACTACATCCATGTCTTTCCAACTGTCCCCATACACGGGGCGGATTTAGGAAATTTGGGACCCTAGGCAAAGACAGGCAGGGGGCCCTCTGAATTGAGAAGACAACAAATAAAACAGACCCATTACACAGATACAGAAATTTTTGATAGAATAGACATACATTATTTGTTCTATGTTTTTTCCCTCTCTTCTTGTCCCTTTTCTTGTTTTTTTCCTCTCTGTGTTTTGTACTCAGCTGACTTTTCATGCTGTCTCAAAAGGAATAAAAGATTTTTTCCAAGCACTAAGCTAACTTAGCTGTTTGCTCATTGCTGTTTCCAAAAAGGTCACGGCAAAAGTAAATAACCCAGTCCTTCTTTTTTCTGCTTATCTGTTCTACATTTTTCATTTGTATGAACTAATAGTTGCATGAATCATGACAGCAGACAAGATAGAGGAGAGCAGGAGGCGGGGTTACCAATCTACCTGCTCTGGAAAGCAAGCTTTTATACGTTGTTACTAAAAGTCTCTGCTAGCAGAAAGAAGTCGCTAGGCGCAAGGCACTTTTTTTTTAAATAAAAGTGCTAGAGGGGTCTGAAAAGTCACTAAATATATCGACAAAAGCCCCAAGTTTGCAACACTGCTCTTTGCAACCTTTGTTTTCAAATGATTTGCTGCTATTAGTTTGGACCTTTCTGAACATGTGCAGCAAATGGACTTATCCAATGGGGTAGATACTGAAGGCTATAATATTAAGAAACACTTAATATTATAAGTGTTCTGATGGCCTTTTAGCTAAAGGAATTGTATCAAACACATAATAAATGTTCAAAAATAAGGAATAGTTGTATTAACCATACATAAACAGAGTTTTATTGGGGCCCCCTGGAACTTGGGGCTCTACGCAACTGCCTAGGATTGCCTTATGGTAAATCTTTCACTGTCAAATAGCTGTTCCGAAACTTTTTTGACAGTAAACCTTTTCAAAGACTTTTCAAAGATAGCGTGCAGATTGCAACACACTCAGAGAACAATGAGGAATGATTCAGATGGAGGACTACTGCGCAAGCTTTTAAATTTGCTTCTCCCTGATTTTGCATGAACTACCAACATCCTTGCCAGACTACTTTGGCAGGTGTGAGTTCAGATGGTCACACACACACCTTGATGCCCATGGTTCAAAAGTATCAAGGTTCTCATGGTCACACTCACTGACAGACGGCTAAAACAGCTTGGGGTCAAATTGACCCCAGAGGAAAACAACTGCGTGCAGTATACGTTCAGCGCATAGTAAAAATATTAATACAACAATTTTATGCCTCATCAGTTGTCCCCATCAATTAGGAAAAGTCATGAAATATGAAGCAATGAAAGTGACCTACTATTTTTTGAATGATAAATTTTTAATTGGGTTAAATTGAACACAAGGACGATAGGAGGGTTGAGAACAAAGGTTGTAAAAGACCAAAGGAAGACAGAAAAAGGGTCATGTGAAACATAGGCAATGTCAACTACAACATCCTAACTGACAAAACAATGGAAAGGTCAAAGGTTTTGCTCTAGATTTTGGTTAATATATTCCATTCTGTTTTAAAGGATTAACCCTATGACTTAATATTTCTCCACAAATATTGAAATGTTGGGATTTTTAATGATGGAGAATATTATATATTCTTTTAATTAATTAATCACTAAAAAAAACTATTGTCATCTATTATACACTCCCTGGCC